ATATATATATATATATATATATATATATATATATATATATATATATAAAGGCATTCCCACAATCTTGCAATATTCTAAACAATGTTTCTAAACTCTAAATGCTCTATAAGAGCACAGAATGTCATGATTTCAGCTCCCTGCCTCGTTTGCTCATTGCCACCTGCAAGCACTCTTGGCCACGCCCACTTCTCCGCTCTGCACAGAGAACAGCTAATCAGCTGCAGCAGGAAGTTTATCCTGCAGTAAGGGCTGCACAGAGGTGCAGGAGGAAGCTTTTTCTACAGTAAGGGCTGCACAAATGTGCAGCATGTACTAAATAATTTAAAATAATTTAGTTCAAATAAAAATTCCATGCCGATCATGCACCTCATCCATCAATCAGCCAAGTGTATGTCATGTCCAATCTTATTTTGAAAACCCGCGATAGAGCGAGTCCGCGATAAACAAACCTCGCAGCAGTGAGGGACTACCGTTACTTTATTAATGTCTCAAGGTTATTTTGGGGCAGTATGGGCTTCAATTTAGACAGTCACCTCAAATGAAAAAAAACAAAACAAAACAGGATTTAACAATTGTGTTTACATGCCTGTTGAGTTTCATGTTAGGGTCCATTTTCACTCTCAGATTAATGACAACTTGTTTCTGCAACAGGGATAGAGAGGAAAGGTTGATACAGTGGTGCCTGGTTGTACCATTAGGTGTAAACAACATGACTTCAGTCTTGTTGATGTAAATGCAGTAGCAGCAGGTAGATGTAGCCTTTTGATGCTACAGCTATCATCACAATATGCTGGAATAACCATGAAATATCAATAATGTAAAAAATACTTTGTAATAACATAGTGTTTCCATGAAATTTGAAGAATAAATTTGTTTTAAGATGGCAATCCACATGTTTTGGTTACATTCAGACTAGCTGTTATTTTGTCAATCTGCTCAAAATGAAACTTTATTTCTCCAAACATAAATCCTTCAAATAGTTTTCAACAAGTAAGATGTTTTTGTTCATAATTTTTCAGCTGAATACCACTTAAAGATTTCTGAGCCATTTCTTTAACTTGTATTAAAACTGCGAGCATTTCAAAGTGCGTTCTCCTTCAAACTAACCTTGAATACCATCCGTCAACAGGTGGGGTTTTGACCCCAACTCCTCCCACCTCCGCTCTGTGTTATCAACAGAGCACTGAGAAGATTGATAGTCCTTGAGCCAGCTGGAAAAAAAGAGAATGAATCTGAATTTAATTTGACTTTGATGTATGATTTTCATCTTGGCTAGCGCCACAGAACCATCAAGAACCCATAACACGATCCTGCTGCATTTTAAAAGATCCACGTTGGCTTAAAGTTTTAGATGTGGGAGGCTGGAGACAGGATTGTACACACCTGAAATTATTCTGCTCTTATTCAATTAAACTTGGGTGACATTAAATTGAGAAACCAGTCTTCCACATGAAACGCATTTAGTGAAGTTACACTATTTATCTTACACAATTGATATTAAGCTTAAATATTAATTGACATGACATTTGGAAATCTTTTGATAACGCAGATTCAAAAAAAATATTGGAGCAAATTACTGAGAGTCCTGAAAGACTCACTGACCACTTTAATAGGACCCAGTGTGACATGCAATAAACTCCAATACAACATCTATACAATACATTTCCCCTAATAAACCACTCCATCCATCCATCCATCCATCCATCCATCCATCCATCCATCCATCCATCCATCCATCCATCCATGATCTTTTACCCGCTTCTTCCATTTTGGGTCACGGGGGTTGCCGGTGCCCATGTCCAGCAATCACTGTGCAAGGGGCGGGGTACACCCTGGACAGGTCGCAAGTCCATCACAGATAAACCTTCACATAAGTCCAAACATAATAAACCACTCCAATTTCATATTTGATATTACAAGTTGATTATTCTATTTGATGTTCAGGTTGGTTTGGGACTTTGTAGGTTTTGGTTATGTATAAAGTCAAATTATGGTAAAAAGTTTCTAATACAGTGAGAACAATTACCATAGCTGTTACAGGTATCCCCTGTGGTGAAGGTGGGAAACGGCATGTTCTCCCTGTGCAGATGTGGCTTTTCTCCGGGTACTCTGGTTTTCTCCTGTAGTGGACTAGGCTACACTCCCACTGACCCAAAACATGCATGTTATGCTTACTGGTAACCAGTGGCAGCTGGTGGAGTTTTCTCTGGGGGTGGGTGGGCTATAACTCCAAAATAGACGCATACATA